GCCCCCCCGCCCACCTCTGCTGTGCGATCAATCCCACTTCCGCCAGCTGTTGGGGCGAATTTCAGAATTTTGAATTGGACCTCCTTGAAAGCGCGGCTCGCCTCAAATTGTTGGGACCTATCGATCTCACAATTATAAATCTCGTGATCGGGATGCGTAGCCTCCAGCTTACTCCACTTGCCAAGCAACACCTCCTCCAGCTGCGCATGGCACCTTTCTTCCACCCCATCCGCATCTTTTCGCAATCATGTCGGCCACAACCTCTGCACAGAAGCCAGAGACGCAGTCTACACAGCCCACCGAGGACGCCAAGTCCGCGCTCCCTTCGCTTGGCGCTCTCGACGAGGACGACGAGTTTGAAGAGTTTGACGAACAGGGTAGGCATGCTTCCACCTACACTACTGCGCAAGCTTCCTTCACTAAACCTTTGCCCGCTTGCCTTCGCTGCTTATGCCTTCGCTGCTAATAGACTGGAACGATGCGGAGACCGATCTGTCACATCTCACCGCTGGCGCATCCAACGCTCCGGGCGCAGGCGTCGGTCTCACCATGGGCGCCGCGTCCACCACCACCGGAGACCACCTCTGGCAAGACTCCTGGGACGACGATACCGTAGAAGATGACTTCAGCAAGGCTTTGAGGTGAGCCACCAATCGCCCCCGCCTTGGAGCCAAAGCTCGCAAAGAATCGCGCTTTACTGACTCGGCATCCTTCTTTGCGTATGATGACAGGGCGGAACTCGACAAGCAGAACAACGCATCAGCCATGTCGACCTGATCCTTCCCTCTTGTAGCACCGCAATCTCATCTGTCTTGGGCACCATCTCGCGCCGATTGCAGCAACGTGTCAACGCGCCTACATGAACAACACCATCGACGACACCAGCTCCGCGTTGGCCAGCGCTGCGATGCACTCCACCGCCTGCACCAGCTCGCAGTCGTCCTGTGCCGTGGCAGTCTCCTGCACATAATCGCGAAACAATCTCGAGCGCTGAAACCCCACCAAGATCGGCAGAAACGTCAGCTCCAGCACAGTGCAACGAAACTGAGACGTTCACCTACAAGCAGCAAATTGATGCCCTCTTCTTGCCGTTGCGCTTCGAGCACCAGCGCAGCTTGCACCAGATCCAGCGACGCTTCGTGCCCCGCCGACCCGCCACGCACGAGGCTGTTCAGCGCGCCCAGCATCGCTTGAGCGTCGAGCATCCCCGGTGGAGGCCGAGGCTGTGTGGGCACGCGAACTTGCCCCTCGTCGGTCTCGCAGCCATCTCTTGTGCCAACAGCATGCGCGCTGGCGCTGGACCACTCGAAGCATTGCTTGGCCTCGAGCTTGGCCGCCACATCCGCGAGGCGCATCCACGTGTTGGTGCTGCAGTCGAGCAGCTGGCTCGGTCCAAACTCGGCCTTGTACTTCATCTTTTGGCAGCCGTGGATGTAGAAGCCCAGGTAGTAGTACGCCACCTCGCGCATTGCCTCCACTCGGCCCAGCCGCTTGGCAAGCGCGATCTCCTGCAGCGCAGTCACCTTGCCCAGCTGCAGTTCGCCAAAGTCTGGGTCGTAGAAGACGTAGACGCTACTCACGCACTTGGGCAGGATGTCCAACACACCCACCGCTATCAACTTGCCGTCCAGTCGGTATTCCTGGTGGTAGCAGCCGTAGGGCAGCTCCTCCGAGATTTCGCAAGTGCTCCAGCTCTGAGATCGAACCGCCGACTCTTGAGATGCAGTCAGCGGTTGACCAACCGACGGCCACGTAAGTGTGAGGCTAGAGTCGACCAAGAAACGCCGGAATCCCTTTTCGCTGCTGATGTCCTCTTCCGACTCGCCATGGATCTTGCCCTGATATCTCCGGAAAAGCTCGTACTTTTCGGCGCTGAAACTCGACAGCGCCAGCCGCGCCTCGAGCCGGTTCGTGATGGGGCCCGCAACACGGTCTGCCCATGCACTCGAAGAGCCCGAGGAGGAGCCTTCAGCCGCATCCGAGGGTGGAACGACTTCCTGCCATCGTCTCTCGACGTCCCAGTCCCTGTCACGGCTCCACTTGCCCTTCCATCTGGCCGGCTTGGGTTTGCTGCGGCGGACGCTGAAGAGCAGCTGCGTCAAGGCCCGGCGCTGGCCTTTGGTAGGGCGATACTCGTCGACGGCGAGACGGATGGGGATCTGAGCACAGCACGTCCTCAGCACGTCCGGCTTGTAGATGTAGTCGCCCGAGCGTCTCCAGCCCTGGTCGATGAGCGTCTGGTAGTGGTAGGGGGAGAGGCGGTACGCCCAGATGCCGTACGACCGGCTGGATTTGGTAAAGCTGCGCGTGCCCGAACCCGGTGCGGTGCAGTAGCCGCAGCTCGAGGCGGTGTAGCCGGTTGGAGACACGATCGACAGCTGCGATCCCGTGCGGCTGGCGGCAGGCATGGCGCGAGGTGGTTGGTGGGCCCGAGTCAAGGATACATGCCAGGGTCCAGCTGTTGGGCTCCTTTCGGACAGGTGGAGGTGCTCGGGCCCTTTTGCTGCGCCATAGGCAACTTTTTTTTTCGAGCCCTTTTCCGGCGTCCAAGCGACATCATCTCGTCTTCATTCCGTCCGTCCCTCGACATCAGCATGGCGCCGCACGCACAGAGCTCGTATATATCGGCGGCATTCAACCGCGCCAATCACATCGCAGACTGGGCCGATGCTCCTGGCAGCACCATCGCCTATGCGGCCAACCGCTCGATCGCCATCTGGGAGCGGCCCGGCCACGCCGACTCGCCCGGTGTGACTCGGCTGCTTCCGACGCCCTTCAGCAAGGCAATCACATGCCTGAAGTTTGCCAGGCTGCGTTCGCTCTCGGCGCATCCGTGTATCGTCGCCGGATCAGCCGACGGATCGATTGGCGTGTGGGCACTCGCCAGCCAGGCCGAGTGGCAGCGGGTTCACACCATCAAGGCGGCACATCAAGGCTCAGTCTCGGCGTTGGGTGTAGCGCGCTCGCCATTCGCAAGCTCTGCTTCCGATGTGATCGTGTCGGGCGCCTCCGACAGCTTGCTCAAGGTGTGGCCGCTGCCAAAGGATGCGTCGCAATCCGCCTCGGTCGTGCAGACGATCGATCTCAAAGGACGATTCCCACTCGATCTCTCACTCATCCAGCTGCCCGGATCATCCGCCAGCGCAAGCTCGCCAGCCAGTCTGCTGCTCGCTCTCGCCACAACCTCAAACAGGATCGATCTCTACACCTCCTCCACGGCTCCGGAAAGCTCCGACCGTCCCGGCTTCGAGTTCAAGCTCTCGCTCGAAGGCCACGAGGACTGGGTCAAATCCGTCGACCTCTGCAGCACTCTGACGGCAGATGCGTCCCGGAACCAGCTCGACACGCTCATGCTCGCTAGCGGATCGCAAGATGGCAGCGTCCGCCTCTGGAAGATCGCCCCAAGCCTTGCCGACGATGCCGATCACCAGCCCGACGCTGCTCCCACTTCCTCACGCGCAGATCACGACTTTGAGCAGATGGCCTCCAAGATCGAGTCGGACCAGAGCACAAAAGCTGGAGAGATCTCAACGCGCGCCCATCCCTTCTCCGTCACCAGTGCAGATGGCCTCACGCAATCCTGGTCGGTGACGTTCGACGCCCTGCTCGTCGGCCACGACAACTGGGTCACCGGCGTTCGCTGGCATCCAGCCGCTTCCTCGCACGGCCAACACGGCCATCAGCCCGCCGCACTCCTCTCGTCCTCGGCCGACAACAGTCTCATCCTCTGGACGCCCACCGGTACCAACCCAGCCGCAACCACCCATGCCGCCTTCCCCGCTTTCGACGCCACCCTCCTCTCCAGCGGTGGTGCACGACACGCACGTGGCCCAACCAACCATGTCCTCGCCTCGTCCATCTGGATGCCCTCGGAGCGTTTCGGAGAGGTGGGCGGTGCCAGCAACCTCGGCTTTTTCGGCGCCCTCTGGATGCCCTCCTCCTTCAGCTCTTCCACCGCCGATCCACGACAGCCCGTCTCGGCCGTCGTGGCGCACGGATGGGGAGGCTCTGCCCACATCTGGACGCTGTCTCGCCCGTCGGCCTCATCCTCCCGCGTGCAGTGGCAGGTAGGCGACCCCGTGACAGGTCATTTTGCCGCTGCCAAGTCCGTCGCATGGGAGCCCTGCGGCGAGTATCTGCTCAGCTGTTCAGACGACCAGACCACTCGTCTCCACGCCCGTCCCCTTCAGAAGTTTGCACAGGCGCTCGATCCACGCACCGCCACCTGGCACGAGGTCGCGCGTCCGCAATCGCACGGCTACGATCTCCACTCGGTCTCGTGGCTCGATCGCCTCAACTTTGTCTCGGCCGCCGACGAGAAGGTGCTGCGTGTCTTTGCTGCCCCGCGCGGCTTTGTGGGAACGGTAGGCAAGCACGGTCTCGACTGTGCAGTGCTCGGCTCGGAGCACGACTCACGCGCATCCTTCCGCCCCACTCACGGTGAGCAGGCAGTGCTGCTGCTGTCGGTCGATCCACAAGTCGGCCTGCTTCAATCGGCCAAGAGGCACGGCGATTTGGTCAAGATGGCCGTGCAGAGGTGCTGCAATCAGCAGAGCGACTCTGTTGTTGCGGTCGTCTCGTCTCGCCTCTTCGACCGCCCCTTCTCGGGTCTCAGCTTCAAGCAGATCGAGCTCTACCTCAAATGGCTCTATGCGCAGGCTTGGAGCGTCGCCGTCAAGCGGAAGCTCATGCTCGTCGACATCACCATCCTGTTGGTGCCGGAATCCTCTCTGGATACTGTCTCGAGGCGCTTGTGCAATCATCACACGCAGGTGCTCGTCGACTCCGAAGAGGGCCAGTTGGCTGAGGCTACGAGCAAGAGCCTCGGTGTGACCGTCAGCCAGCTCCAGTCCAGTGTCGACCTCCGAGAGCCCTGCGACGCAGTCGGGCGCGATGACGGCAAGGGCCTTGTCTGCTACCCCGTGGTTGCGCTCGGCGGCACATTTGACCACCTCCACGTGGGACACAAGATCCTGCTCACCATGGCGTCGCTCCTCGCCGATCGCGAGATCATCGTCGGCGTGACGGACGATGCCATGCTCACCAAAAAGTCCAACGCCGCCTTGCTCGAGCCGATCGAAGAGCGCATTGCGACGGTCAATGCATTCATCAGCCTGGTGCGCCTGCCCTTCACGCCGCTGGTGCAGCGCGTGGTCAAGCTAGAGGACGTGGCGGGGCCCGCAGCCACCGAGGCCAATCTCCAGGCGCTGGTGGTTACCGACGAGACGCTCTCCGGCGCCGACTTTATCGATGGCAAACGAAAAGAAAATGCGCTGGCGTCGCTCGAGAACTGGGTGATCGGCGTGGTGGGTAGCGAGGGCGAGACCGACCTGCAGGGCGATGCCAAAGCTCTGGCCGAGAGCAAGATCGGCAGCACTGCCATCCGCAAGTGGCTGGCCGCACAGGGTCCGCGTCGCGTCCAGGCGCTCGAGACGGCAAAGCGACAGCGCGTTTCGCACCAGCTTCGCCTCTGCAGCAGCGACGAAGCGGATAAGCCCGAGGGCGAGGACGAAAAGATGGCAGCACGACCGGTGGGAGCGAGCGTGCCTCCGCTAGGACTTTCGAATCGCGCCGTGTTCGAGGGCTCGACGATCCAAGACGAGCCATCTGCGAGCGGCCAGCCGATCGGCGCGGCGACAGAGTCTCTGTCTGCGGTGCTGCAGCATCCTCCATCCGAAGAGCAGCTGTCGGTCGAGACGCTGTGGCCCGAGCTGGAGAAACTGTACGGCCACGGCTACGAGCTGCTGTGGGTGAGCGCCAACCCTGCTCACCCAATCGATGGCGGGCGCACCGCATCGGGCGGGCGGTTTGTGGCATCGTGCTGCAAGGCGACGAGCGAGGAGCATGCGGTGGTGCGTATCCACGACCGCCACCAGAACTGGCGCGAGTGTGCAGTGCTCGACGGCCACACGCTCAGCATTACGCGCATTCAGTGGAGCCTGGACTCGCGCTACATCCTCACTTCGTCGCGCGATCGCAGCTGGCGCATGTACGAGCGCAAAGGCGCGCTCCAAGGCGACGGCGATGTGCGCTTCGAGCCATTTACGGGCGAACGCTCGCACGCGCGCATCATCTGGGACTGTGCGTGGTCCACCGACCTGTCGCGGCCCTACGTGTTCGCCACGGCGTCGCGAGACAAGACGGTCAAGATCTTTGAGCTCGCTGCGTCCAACGCCGAGGGCAAGCCGTTCTCGCTGCTGTCGACGGTGAAATTCAGCGAGGCTGTGACGGCCGTCGCGTTTGGAGCAGGGCTGGTGCTGGCGGTAGGCAAGGAGGACGGCTCGGTCGAGATCCTGGCCAAGTCGGATGGCGAGGAGGGAGAGACGTGGCAGTCGACGCTGCAGGTGAATGACATGGCGGCCGAGCAGATCAACCAGCTGGCGTGGCGGCCACCCGTGCTGGAGGATGGCGACGATGCTGTGCTCGCCTCGGCGTCGGAAGACGGTATGGTTCGCTTGACTAGGATTGTGGGGCTTTAACCTGTAGAATCAGACTCTGCTCATTGTGCCTATGCCAGCCGTGACCGCGATACAGACGTGAGGCGATGGCCAAGGTTCGAGATGAGATGAGAAGAACAGCAAGACAATTGAGGCGGCGGGGGAGAGCTAGAGTACATAGAATGGAGCTTGGATCGGATGCAGGGAAAGGCCTTGATGCTCATCGGCCGTACCTGTTGTACATCGGCGGGGTACGAAGTGGATGATCAGTCTCTGTAGCTTGTCTTTGGTACGGACGGTGGAGACTTACTTTTGGAGTTCCCATTCTCTGTTGTCGAGTGGGCAAACCTGTCTGGTCTTGAGCCAACGCGAGATGCAGTGGAAATGGAAGGCGTGCTGTTTGGTCGCGGCCTCGATTGTCAGCGTAAATTCGTGCGCGGATGCAAGGATGGTGGGATACGTACGTTGCACTGGCCCCACGCGACGGTGCATTCCTCTGTAGTTGCTGAGCCCTGGTTTGCTTGACATTCGATGCCTGAGTTGCGCGACAAGATCAGTGTCAGCGACTCTGTAGCAGGTCAAAGAGGCACGGAAGGGTAAGGGGGGCAACTTACAAAGATCCATGATGTGGTTCCTGCAGATAGCGCACTGCAATCATTCAAAGACGAAAAGGTGAAGTGAGTATGTCCGCCACGATCAAAGGATGTTTTGTAGCATGGAGACGTACGTTGTCGACGACAATGTCCCAGGACCAGAGACAAACCGCGTTCCACTGAAGCGATGGGAGGGAGAAAGGTGTCAGTTGGAGTGTGGCGCGTCGATTGATGGCAGAGTGGGGCCTGAAGGCGTACCTTTTTGACCTGGAAGCGGGGCTGCTTGGTGGCGGGAGAATCGACCTCCATTGGCGCGTTTTCGGCCATCGTGATTTCGAATGTGGTGACAGTCGACGACGAGGGTGGTGGTGATGGAGAAGAGTTGAGTGAGGATCGGCGAGGTGCCGAGAGTGCCGACTGCGAAGGTGCACAGACTCTGGCGCGGGGCTAGCGCTCAGCCTTCCTTTCTTTCTCGAGGCGGCTCTGCGCTCAGGCGGGCGGCAAAGGTGGAGGGAGCGGCGCGCGTCAAGATCGGCTGGCTCTCCCGATGTGATTTTAGCAATGCGAGCGCGCGGCTCAGTCCTGGCAGCCACAGAGCTCAGGGTCCAACAAGCTCAGCTGCGTGGCTGCCGCATCGGAGAATTGCCGGCTGCTCCTTGCTCCTCGCTCCTCGCTCCTTTGCTCCGTCACCACCGTCCGCACTGCCACCCTCGGCGCATCCGCAAAGCATGGGAAACAGACACGCTCGAATCGGCTGAGCCGCTGCAACACGGATCGCTGCTGAGACGGCATAGAAAGAGAGAGATGCGAACGGCTGCGCTGCACTTTGGCTGTGCTGCTGTCGCCTCGCTCCGCTTCCGATCGCCATGTCATCCTCGTCGTCCACATCGTCGAAGCCGCGCTCTTCGCGCCAGGACCGGCTTCCTCAGCGTCATCCGGCTCGGATCAACACTGCTCCCGCCTCGTCGCATCGCGCACATCCACCGTCTCGATCCGATGCGGCTCATCCGTCGCTTGCGCAGCTTCGCCATGCCTCGGCATCCAAGTCGTCAACGTCACCGCATGCCTGCCACAACTGCCATCAGATGGACACGTGCTTCTACTGCGATCCTTGCCTCAGCTCCCGAATAGCTGCTCACCACAACGAGATCCGCAGGCTCTCCCTCGCAAAAGACAAGGCAAGGCAATCAGTCGAGATGCTCCTCTCCGATCGAGCCCACTCCGAAGCTGTCGGTGCTATCCCTCCATCTTCTTCAGCCACGCAGGCCATCCCCTCTGCCACGCTCGCAATGCCGGCGGCGCTACCGGACCCTTTCAGCATCACGGCATCCGAAGCTACAGCTGCAGACTCGCCTCACAGCACGCTGCTGCTGCAGCCACTCGTACAGCTGAGAGCACGCCGAGCAGCGCTCAGCTCGCGCGTTCAGAACATCCACCAGTGCATCGCCCACTCTCAGCAGTCCCGCCTCGAGTCCCAAGAAGCTCTCCAAGAGCAACAGGCTAGTATCGTGCTGCGCAAGCACAACCTCGCCAAGTCCTGGTCCAGCCTAGAAGGATCCTCGGCAGTTTCCTCACCCTCCGCTTCGCAACGAGCTCGTCACGCAAACAAGTCGCGCTGGCTTACCCATCCAGCCGCCGACCACATCGATACCCCACTCATCTTCACCGACGTCTACACCCACTACGAACGACAGGACGAGGCTCCTCCCACAGACTCCCCCGCAGAGCCCGTCGATCTGCAGCTCGGCGCCGTCATCACCCGCTCCCGCCTTCAACTCGCTTCTCTCCAAGCAGAGGCCACTGCCATATCGGCAGAACTTGCAAACGCTAGAGCTACACTCGCCCGCGACGCCTTCCGTCTCTTCTCGGTCTCTCCGCCCGACTCGATTCAGTCGCTCAAGACAGTCGTATCCCCGACGCCTCGCTCACGTCGTGTCAACCTGTCGGCGAGTAGCTCCGTCGCACAACGCATAAGCAAGCTGTCGGAAAGGTACATGCCCGGCGCGTTTGGACTTTCTCAAGCTTCTCTTACCCACGCCGCTGTCGCCGATCAGGCTTCGGTCGCCAGCACAAGCACCGACCCCTCCGATTCCAGACACGGCTCATCCAAAAGCTCGTGGTCGATTGCTGGCCTGCCTCTTCCGCTGCCAAGCGAAGTCCGAAGACACCCGCGTGAAGACGTCAATGGTGCTGTGACGTACGCAATCAACCTCATCCAGCTGCTAGCCACCTACCTCGGCATCGCACTCCCCTTTTGTATCGAACAGCACAAGGGGCGCTTCTCCCTCCGGCCAGATGCGCTCTGGGACGGCGGCGGTGGCTCGAGTGCAAAGACGCTCTACCTCTCATCGCGCGCCTACGCTCATCTGAGCACCACCGCTCCCTCCACCCAACGCTCCTCCAAACTCAACAATCTGGCAGAATCCACCATCGGCCTTGGTGCTTCGACGCTGTCCACCATCGAGTCGTACATTCACTTACCCTCGGGCGCCGGCTTACCGTGGGGTCTGACTGCAAATCAGACGCCCAACTCGAAAAACGCCTCTGGCTCTCATGATGCAGACTCGGAAGCGCGACAAGAGGCGAGGACAGATAAAGGACGCGACTCAGCCTTACCCTCAGGTGGCAGCTCGACCGATGCTCGGTCCAAGCCCGACCAAGCGGCTCGTTCGTTCGTGTCGGCGCTCGTCATGCTGTCGTACGACGTGGCCTACCTCGCTGTCAAGCAGGGCATCCAGCTCGATCTCGTCGCCGCGGCTGCCAACCCTCTGCATCTCTTGTCCATGATCATGCGCCAGTCTGATCTCGGTCGTCGCGCGCACGCCAACCATATTTCTGCATCTGGCATTGCGGACCTCAGCCTGCATTCGCTCGACTACGAACAGCTCGCACAGATCCTCGAGCCGAACAACGCCGCAGCGGATGGGTATAAGCGCGGAGGCTCTTCGCGTTCTGCAAGATCGGACTTGGCAGAGGCGCCTCGGCCACGTGTTGCGGCTGGACCTCACAAGATGCTCGAACAGAGCTACGTCGATGTCGGAGAAGCGGCAGCCTCGGTGCTTGGACTCAGGGATCCGTCGACTGCCGCTCGTAAGCCAAGCGCCCGGCAGGCTTCTGCTGCACCAGCTGCGCAGACTGGCGAGGCAGGGCAAAAAATGTCCAAGCCTCAGCCTGCTCCTCGTCTCGCAGCCGATGACGGACGAAGTCAGAAGAGGACGGCCTCAAAACGCATGCCTTCCACATCAGCTCAGCCGCCTCCTTCACTCGAGTTCCTACGCCAACGAGGCCGCGACGCGTCCAGAGCGAAGGGGGATGCCGGCCCGGCCACCGCTGCCAATCACGGCTCAGAGAGAAAAGACAGGGCATCCAAGCCATCAAGGCAGGCTACGGTCCCAGAAGACGAGGCCGGAACACAAGCCAGCAGAAAGATTGGTCCTGGCGCTGTTATCTTCAACGGGGTCGAGGTGGGTGTCGGCAACATGAGTGTCGATGCAGACCGATCCGCAGCTGGGCCTAGCCGAGGACCGCGCGAAAAGCACCGCAAGCATGCGACTGACGAAGGTTGGGATCTGGTCTGAGCGTCATAGTGTATTCATATATTCCGCAATGCTCAATGCTCAATGCTCAATGCATCGAGTTTTCAAGTCGTGGCTTGCGCTGTCTTGATGTTCGAATGTGAGGTACTCGAGTCTGAGCGAAAGCATCATCATCATGTGTCATGGTCCAGCGGCGGCATTTTGGCCGCGTTCCGAAATTTGTGAATGGGCGGCTCAGCTGGGGAATTCTCGAAGCTCTTCAGGCTCCACACTTTGACACGCTGCCTCCATCACTTGCCGGTCATCGCCTTGCTCTCGCGCTTCGGAGTGCGGTGGAGGGTGCTAGGGCGTCATGTCAGACTCGGAGCTGCGCCGGTGGATCAGCGACAACAGTCTGCGCTTCTTCGGTCTCTCGCAGTCTTCGATCATCGACTTTATCCAGGTGTCCGCCTCGTCAGCCGCAACGCCCTCGGACCTCTTCCAGAGCCTCACCTCGCTCGGGCTTCCATCTACCGACGATGCGCGCGGCTTTGTCCAGCAGCTCCATCAGCGCGTGCCCCGCGCCAGTCAGAGTCGCAGCAGCGCCGCGCCCAAGACGGCCACCAGTCAGGATGGCGCGAAGAGCAAGAAGCGCTACGGCCTGCTGCTCGACGACGATGGTGAAGAGGAGCTCGCGATCAAGCCCGAAAAGAAGAAGAAGAAGCGAAAGGAGGTCAAAGACTCAGCTCCAGCAGAGGCTTCATCGTCGAGGCCATCTCGATCTCCCAGCCCGCGTCGTTCGCCATCGGGCGCAGGCTCGGACGACGAGTCTCGCGAGCTAGCTCGGCTCAAGGACCTGGCCGAACGCGACGAGTTCGCGCGACGCATGCGCGACAAGGACAAGAGCAGCACACGCAACATGGTCGAAGACCGCACATCTTCGCGCAATCCGGAAGCTGCAGCACGCCGACTGTTGGCCGAAGACGACGAGGCGCGTTCAGCCGCGATGCCCAGTTTGCGCGACCGCTCCCGCCAAGAGTACCTGGCGAAGCGCGCGCAGCAGCGCATGGAGCTGCTGCGACTCGAGATCGCAGACGAAGAGCGCTTCTTCCGCGGCATGAAGATGACCCGGCGCGAGCAGCGCGATCTGGACTACAAGAAGGAGGTGCTGCGCCTCGCCGAGGAGCGCGCACGCATCGACGATGCCGACGCGGGCTACGTTATGCCTGAGGACTACATCACCGAGAAGGGCAAGCTGGACACGGCGAAAAAGGAACAGGCGCTGTACCAGCGTTACAACGATGCCCGCGCCGAGCGGCTTGCGCAGTCGCACGCCACCGACGCCGAGATCTTTGAAAAGGAGCAAATCGATCGCTCGCGCTACGTGCCCGAACCAGCCAACGAAGCGGCCACAGAGCTGGTGGACCAGTACGACTACGTGTTCGACGAGACACAGACCATCCAATTCGTCGTCGAATCGCAGATGGCCGGCACGACGACGACGAGCGCCAAGGATAAGCTGCTGCAGCAGCAGATTGACGAGGCCGAGACGAAAGCAGCCAAGATCCAGGCGACGCGCGAGTCGCTGCCCGTGTATGCGCTGCGCCAGGAACTGCTCGACGCCATCGCCGAGTACCAGGTGCTGATTGTCGTCGGCGAGACTGGATCGGGCAAGACGACGCAGCTGCCCCAATTCCTGCACGAAGCCGGATACACCAAGGACGGCAAGAAGGTCGGATGCACGCAGCCACGTCGTGTCGCAGCGATGAGCGTGGCGGCGCGCGTGGCCGAGGAGATGGGCGTGCGGCTCGGCAGAGAGTGCGGCTACAGCATCCGTTTTGAGGACTGCACCTCCGACGACACGGTGATCAAGTACATGACCGACGGCATGCTGC